GAGAAAGACAAGTACCAAATGATTTCACTCATCTGTAGAGCATAAGAACAAAGCAAAAACTGAAGGAACAAAACAGCAGCAGACTCACAGAACCCAAGAATGGACTAACAGTTGCCAAAGGGAAAGGGACTGGGGAGGGTGGGTGGGAAGAGAGGGAGAAGGGGAATAAGGGGCATTACAATTAGCACACATAATGTGGCAGAGGGGGACATGGGGAAGGCAGTATAGCACAGAAAAGACAAGTAGTGACTCTATAACATCTTACTACACTGATGGACAGTAACTGTAATGGGGTATGTGGTAGGGACTTGATAATTGGGGGAATCTAGTAACCACAATGTTGTTCATGTGATTGCATGTTAATGATACCAAAAAAAAAAAAAGAAATATGAGGGATTCCCACTATCTGAGTTTTCAAAGCTAAGAAGTGAAACTCAGAGTAACCTCTTTACAAATTAACATCTACTGAGACATCCCCCTCTGCTCACTTCCAGGCTTGACGCAGTCACTGACTTTCTGAGGCAGTCTGTTACAGATGGTCAGTGGTAGTTCAAATAAATACAAAAAAGACTGCAGAGTGAAATTACAAATCTTGCTGAACATGCAGAATGTGAGGAAGTCAATGAGATATTGTGAGCGCATTTCCTTGGGCAGTGATAAATAAGAACCTGGCTGATTGACCCTGTGAGACCACGGAAGGGCAGAATCAGTCAGGATAGTCACTGGATCCTGCGAATGGTCAGGAGAATGATGTGGAAACTACCCGATGTCCCACGGCCTAGAAAGGCAATGTGATTTTGCTCATGACCTCATCTCAAACCTCATTTTCTTCACTCCAGCCACGCTGGGACCTACTCCCACCTCAGGGACTTTGCACCTGCTGTTTCCCTCTGCCTACACAGCTAAGCCCCCAGCTCTCCATGTACCTGGCTCTTGTCATTCATGCTAAGACCTGAGTCACCCCCTCAGAGAGGTCTTCCCTCACCACAATAAATGCGCCAAGCAGACAAGCCTCCATTATATTACCCTGCCTTTATTATTTTCTTTGCTGCACTTACCACTATTTATTCCCTTACTTATGCTCTGCCTCATGCTAGGACAGGTGCCCCAGGAGAGAGGGCCTTGTCTGCCTTCACGCAGATGTAACAGTGCTCCTGACCACCCACAGAGAGGCTCAGGTATGTGGCACGTGAGTGAAGACCTCCCAAAGCCAAGCTCTCCACCACAGCCAGACCCCACACTGTTTGGCATTTCAAAGGTGTGTCTTCCTTGGAAAATCCTGCAGTTGAGAATCTCTCTTTTCCCCACACTCACGTCTGAAAACTGGAATGAGGGTGGAGGGGAAAGGAGGTCATGGTCCCTAAATGGGCAGAGAGAAGCGCTGCCACCTTGAAATGGTGCCGTCCTTGCGGGGACGGGATGGGTGGATTTGGGAGGATCTCCTGCTTCCTGCTCTCTAAGCTCTGGTCTCATTCCAAAACTAGACTTCCCAAGACTCAGCCCAGACAGGGTCAGATGCCTGCCCTGCTCTTTCCCTGGACTCACCAGATGTGGGGAAAATGGATCTTAAGCCATCTCACATCTTTGAGAGGAAGAAGGGATGATACAGAGAGGGACCAAGAGCAGCAGGAAGCTCTCCTTCTACATGGTCCCACCTGCGCATTCCTGCCTTGGGCCTTAGGCCCGTCACACCTGCTGGGCGGCCACCGCCTGGCTTCCCTAATAGGCCCGCCCCACCACACGGCCCTTGCCTCTCGAACAGCTGCGCACGAGCTGGTGCGGCTCCTGGCCTTCAGAGACAGGAGAGCAGGTCTCAGGGCTGCCTTCCTCCTGGCGCTGACACCCCAGGTCAGTCACCCTCACAGGATGCCTATGGTGAGGCCCTAGGCCCTCCGGGCACCGGAACAGAAAGGTGTACACCCCAAATTCTCAAAACGCCGGCGCAGAAAAAGTACAGGTTGCTTTGAAGAAAGTGCATGGAGAAATCTCAAGAAAAGTCCAAATTAGCAATGACATATGCTATTGATCAATACACCTCTTTTCCTGTGAGAGGCACTCGAGACAAATGCTATGGCAACTCTCTCGGCTTCTGAACAACCAGGCACTGAATACTCTGCAGTTTCACTACAAATCAAAGGGAAGGGGATTCCAGGGTGCCGAGCTCGGGCAGCGCCTGCCAGGGGATGCCTGAGGCAGGAGCCCAGCTTCAGACTGCCTTCACCTGCAAAGCCACAGTGCAAATGCTAGCATCCTTGGGAAGCCTTCCCCGGCTCTGGCTTGGGTTGAGGTAGCCGCCCTCTGGGCAACCAGGGCAGATATTACCTATCATGGTAGATATTACACTCTAAACTGTTTTTGATCTCTGTCCATAACTGTCTTTCCTACCAGGCCAAAAACCAACCACTAAAAATAAAGGAATCATTCATTAGTCATTTTTTGTATTCCTAGGTCTTAGCATGGGCTTGACACACAAAAGGCATCTAATAAATGCGCCTAATTAAATGAATGTGTGGAGAGATGCAGGGACATGAAACGGCAGGGAAATCTGGCTGGCGCTGGGGTCTCACGCACTTTAAGAGGTATGCTCCAGCGATGTGGACCAGGTACAGGCAAATGTACAGGAGCTGGCGGGGAATTTCCTCCTGCCAACAAGAGAAGCAGACAGTCAATGTGCCCCTTCCCTACCTGACGAGGCAGGAATGGAGGGGAGGTGCAGAGGGACAATGGGGAGCCAGGCCACCTCCCCTCTGGAAGGCACCAGGCTGAGATGCTTTAACGCACACAGTCCTGCAGGCTAGAGGCCCTGTGCATCAGGCTGCTGCTGAAAAGCCCGAGGACAAGGCAGCAGCTCCAAGTCTACAGTCAGAGGGTGGGTTGTGTTGAGAAAGAAGAGACAGGGACTGGGGAACAGGGCTTTGGAAATAATTCAGCATGAAGCTGTGGAAAAAAAAAAAAAGACTATGGGAAAGGGGAAATCCTCCCCATCTGCTATCCAAAGATGAGAATTCTATTTCCCCCAAAGCCGCACATCCAGGGTGGGAGGCAGACAAAAGACTGACACTGGGGCCTCCTCTTACAGAGTCTTTGTGGGGATGTGGACAGGGGCCAACTCAGCATTTTCCTCAGCCTGCCCGCATGTCCCCATCACCCAACATTCTGTGCTCAAGGACGGGAAGGTGGGCTGGGAATAGGAGGGGAGGGGAGGGCAAACGGCTTCAGGAGGGGGAAGCGAGTACTCACCTTCCGTACCTTCTGGAAGTACAGCTCGGGAAGCGCGTGCAGCCAGTAGGCCAGCTGGCACAGGTAGAAAAACTTCACCTGGAAGCTGGAGACAAGGGAGTGAGTCACACGGGGGTCTGGAGAAGGATGTCCCTGCAGGGCCTGTGGAGCCCGGGAGGGAAAGGGGGGCTGGGACCGTGTGAGGGGCAGCAGGTCCACGAGCAAGGGAGGGCAGTCGGTGGGCAAGCAGCCTGGGGACCCTGCTCCACAGACAAGAGCAGGACATTTGAGACACAGAAAGTCCACAGAAATAAACAAAAATGATGAAAAGAGGGCAAAGGAGAGGGGCTCTTCAGCCCGGAGCAGCCATGGCTGGGCGTGGTGCTGGGTCAGGAGTGTTGTGTGCGGAAGATGGCAGCATGAACACACAGAGGAATGAGTGTATCTGTGGAGCGGAGGGAGGCCTTCCCTCAGCTGGCCGGCCTTTGTTGCTGCCATTCACAGGGTCTTAGGGAAGGCAGAGCAGGGTCTCCTGAGGGAGGTGCCCCGGGCACAGGGCAGGAGGCAGCGGCGGCCTCTGAAGGAGCCCAGCCAGCCGAGGCAGGAAGGGAGGGCGACCTGGGGGCGGCCAGAAGGGGCAAAGCCTGGAGCACTTCATGGAACGCGCTACTTCTGCCTCTGTGTCAAACGGTTTAGGCACCTGCCACAGAGTCTGGATTTCTGTTGTTCACAAACCAGCGGGTCGTGGTATTTTTGCTACAGCAGCCTGAGCCGTCTAAGCAGCAGGGGCTAGCACAGATGACATTTCATTTGGGGGTCCTCCAGGCAGCACCGTGGAGGAAGCAGCTCCCAGACAAGCCTGTCTCCCACAGTACTACGCCCTAATAGGTTCAGGGCTAACTGCCCCTCATGCCGGCTGGCCCCACGGTGTTCTGGCCACACTCTGAAGTGAGGAAGCCAGCAGAGCTGTGTGCTGTCCCTGGTCACCGGCTCACGAGAATACTCACGGGAGGTACACATGGGGGTAGTCTTCCCAGAGGCTTCTTGGGTTTGTTAAATACCCTTCCTGTAGTGGGTGAGAAGAGGCAGCAATTAGAGATGTGGGGTGAGACCCGCTGGGGCCCTGGGCACACCCCCATCCCCAGCTGCCAGACACCGGACGGAGAGGAAACGTGAAGACGAAGGCCCCTCCCCTCTGCGCAGGACCCCTGGCTCTGGGTGGTTCCTTTACTGGCACAGAGCTGTGACATGGCAGGCGGAGCTCTGCGCCGAGGTCAGAGGCCCTGTGTCTGCATGTGGGAATGACACTCACTAGCTGCATCCTCTGGGCAAGTGAGCTGCGCTAAGAGCTTCCCTTGGCTCATCTGTAAAATGAGGATAAAAATACCTCCCTAAAGTTACTGTTTGAGGAAAATGTGAAGGTTTATGTAGATGTGCCAGTGCCTAGTATTAGGCCTGGCATGCAGGCACTCAAGAAATGCTCGTAGAATGAGTAAGCACATGGACTCTGGAATCCACCGGAAAAACGGGAGGCCTAGTTTGCTCTGCACATCACCATGAATAAAGAGGGGCAGGACCCCACGGGTCTCGCCACGAGGCCCCACTCCATTGGCCTCGGCAGTGGGACACTTACCAGAGCAGCATGACTGCCAACTGCCCCCGCTATTCTGCAAGTTCCTTCACGCTGGGGTCTCCAGTGCCCCTCCCATCTCTAGCGTATGGCCCAGGGCCTCTTGCAGAGGGGGGAAGGTAACCCCAAAGCCCTCCCATCGAGGGACATCTAGAAATGCTAATGAAATCTAACAAATATCCTTTTACCTGCAAAGCTGGGCTCACAGTAAGAAAGGGAAAGTGCTAGAATCCCAAAGGAAGGGAAGCTGAGAGACAGAGCAATGGGCCAAGACTGTGGCAGCCCACGAGGTGCCCGTCCTGGGGCCCGGATGCTCACACCATGTGGGAACAGAGAGTGGAGCCCTGACCGGTGGGACCTGGGCCCCTTGTATAGCACCAGGACCCCTGAAGGGCTGCAGCCTCAGAAGGCAGACTCGGACGACTCTGATGACCAACCCAGGGAGGTGAAGTCTGCTCACCCTGGGCACAGGATGAAAACAGAAAGATTATGCCCTGAAAATCTGTAACCTCAGGGTGGCTTTCACTGTGTCTGGAGTTCAGATTTATACTACCCGGGTGGTCCGGGAACCACTAAGTTAAGAAATTAGCAGTAATGGTATTATAGGCCCGTGATACCGTTACTGTAATCTCATCCAAGGATGTACAGGATTCTCACACATAAAACCTTGCTAAAAATGAATTTATAATCCGAGATTACAAAATGCATGAGGCAGCAATCCACCATGAAAGCAAGAGTCAGCTGACACAAATAAAAACTTGGTTAAATGAATGAATGGTGAATGCTTTAGGTAATTTCTCTCTTTGGAGAGAAAAAGGCTCTTGTTTGTCACTCAGAGAAGGTTAGATTAGTATACCCCCATTTTAGGAGCAAGAAAATGAAGGAACAGACAGGAAGTACGTCCTGAAATGAGATGGTTTTTCGTCAGCCACCTGAGATCTGGTGGGGCCACCAACCTCCTGGTCCAATAAGCCCAGGCCAGGTTGCTTCACTAAATCAGGAAATAAAATGAGCTGGTGGCTTTGATGAGGAGGCTGGGATGGCAAATGCTCACACTGGGACTAGGGAGGGGTTTAGCAGTGGTCAGGAAAAGGAGGAAGCCAGCACTTAGTGAGAAGCACTCCAGGTCACCATCTATTGGATTTGCAGGTTTATTTCCAGGTGAGGGATACCCACTCACCTTCGAGTCACTAAACGCCCTTGGACATTTTAGGTATAACCCACACAACCCCACAACCTGGGGCCTCAAATGACCTAACTGATGGGTCCAGGAAGGCACATGCCCCAGTGTGTAGTTACAGAAACTCAGATCTGAAGGAAACGGTCTCACCTCAAACCCTCACCTGCCTCATTTCTAATCCCTTTGCACCCCCAGCACCCGCCTCCCATGGTCACACTCAGACGGAGGCACAGAAGTGGAATGCTCTGGGCCTCAGGTGGGAGGCGCACTTCCATGCACCACAGCCGCTGTGTCCGTCTCTGCCTTCCCTCTGCCCCGTTCCCAGCGGCCTTCATCAGAACGACCACCTGGGCGCACAGCGACACACCGTCTGCCACTCTCTCTACCTCATTCCAGGACTCAGACAGGTGAGAACATTCCTTCCTAAGGCAGCAGCGAGGTAGGTAATGAGGAAAATGGTTCTTCTGGGACTGAGGTGGGGGAGGAATTTCTGCTAAGAAGAGTGGCCACAAGCAGCAGCTCTGGGAAATCTAAAGCTCAGACGACCTTGGGATTTTAGGCAGACCTTTTACTTTTGAGTGGTCCTTACTTAGGAGATAAAGGGGTCATAACTTGGAAGCCAACAAGCAAAGAAAACTCCCCAGCAAAATGCTGCCTGTTTGTAAATGTCCCGTGCACAGGGACTGCGGAGGGAGGGGGTGGCCAGAGGACGATGACTCACCACTCTGAGAACAGCCTTTTCCAAGACCTCGGGCCAGGCAGCAGCCTGCGGGCGGCCGGGGCCGGGGCGCCCCCAGAGCTCAGGCACGCCAAGGCCCTGTGATCACGGGGGCTGAGTGTGCAGAGTCTGCACCTGCAGCAATCCCCACCCATCCACCCACCCACCAACAGGCACTGGCAGAGGGTCTGCAGGGGCTGAGGAAATTCTTTGTTATCTCCTGGTTCTGTAAATCACCCTCTGAGCTAAGTGAGGCCTCAGCAAGCTGGAACAGTCTCTCCCCTTCCCCCAGCAGCCTTCCTTTCTGGTGGGTGATCAAAAAGAACCACATAAACAGCAGAATCCAGTCATAACACAGCCAGATGCTCCCTAGATTCAGACACACCTACATCATTTCTCCTTCAGGAACCGTCACAGACTAAAGCCCTGCTCCGAGCAATCAGTCTGTTAGTAGAAATCTGTCCTGACACAGAAATCAGTACTGGAGCAGAACTGGATACGTGTGAAAGGTGCTCCCTCTATGAGGATCTCACTGAGCCCTGGGCTGTAGGCTTTCAAATACGAAGTGAAACACCCCAAGACGTCAGGCAGGGGGACCCAATGCCCACCCACCCTCTTTCCCCAACACGGTGTCGGGGTTTTGTTCTTCCTGAACAATGAATAGTAGTTCAAAGGTAGATATAAAGTAGGAGGTTGACATCCTCATAAGGTTACTGGTTGGTCCAGCCACACTCCCATCACTCTGTCTGTACAAACGCAAACAGGAATGGCTCAAACACAAAGGCTGGAGCAGGAAGATGCACTTACAGTTTATTCCTTCATTCTGACAAGCCCTGTGTAGTGGGCACTCAGTCAGTCTCTCCTACCAGGCACTTAGGAGAGACACTGCAGAGAGCACAGCGCCTGCTTACACACAGCTCAGGGTCTAGTGGTGGAGACAGATGACAGAGAATACACACCTGAACAAGGAAACTGAGGAATGGGTAGAGTGCAGAAAACACACATGGAGGGACACCGCTGGGGAGGTGACGCTGAGGTGGAGACTTGGATGGCGAGAAGGAGCTAGCCATGGATGTGTGGGGATGGAGGAGATGAACTGCCCACACAAAGCCCAGGAGGTGGGAGCAGCCAGAAGCATTAGAGGAGCAGAAGTCACGACGATGGAGCTGGAGCCAGGCCGATGGCAGGGGCAAGGCCGGCAGGGCCCGCTCCCAGGAGTGAGGGAGGAAGACAATTTCACTGCAAGTGGGAAGGGCCTCTCAGCAGGGGGAGGCATGATTTGACTGACATTCTAAAAAGACCTGTCTGTCTCAGCAGGAAAAGGATTGGGAAGGCACACAAGTGGAGACAGTCTCCTTCTAGAGAAGAGATATTCAGTGGCCCAGGCAGGAGATGATGGTAGCTTGGATTACAGATCAGTTTTCCAACCTTGACGCTATAGACCCTGAAGCCAGAGAATTCTTTGTTGTGGGGACAGTCCTGGGCACTGTAGGCCATTCAGCAGCATCCCTGGCCCCCTCACATGCTAGTAGCATACTGCCAACGTCCCCTGGGGGACAGAGCCTCCCCTGGACTGGGGACCGCAGTGCAGGTGGAAAGTGGCCGACGTTACCCCTGGAGGTGGGGCTGGAAGTAGCTGCTGATGGACTGACTGACTGTGGTGGGCAAAAGAAGGGAAAGAATCAAGAGAAACAGCATCAGAGCAGAAAAATATGATTTTTTAAAACCACCCTCTCTTCCTCAATCACCTTCATCCCATGCAGAATAATTCAGAGGGAGCAGACGAGAGCCAGGAGCCACAGGGTGTTATCACGAGTCCCCTTGGTCTCCATTTCCTGTTGAAGATGTTGGTGGGGAATGGGCTGTCCCTACAGGGCTGTTAGGACCTTCCCCAAGAAAAGTGTGGCATGCTCCCACACCAGTTAGCAGCATCACTGTCAAGCCATTGGAGGCCTGAGAGAAGCGAAGACGGAACAGTTGAGCACTTCACCCTGGAAGGAGCGCTAAGTAAGTTGGCTGTTGGCCTCCAAATCTGGTCTCAGTGTTTTACAGCTGGTGTGGAATGTCTGGGGTGAGGTGGAAAGGGTACAAGTGATTCAGACATGAGGCAAACACTTCTCTCCAGTGGCCAGATGGATGTCTGGGCTCTTGAGGCCGCTCGGCCTCAAAGCAGCTCCAGGTCTCCAGGGGCTGTGTGAACCCAACGCCCCACAGTTGGGTGAGGCCTGAAATACAGAAGCACCTGGACTTCCCAGAGCCAGGATGTGGTCTGCACACTGGCTGGGGCGTTCCTCACACAGACCACCCCTGCCAGTGCAACACGGTAGTCCTGCTGCGAGGACCGGAGTCTGAGGTCCTGCATGGAAAATCTCTTGTGTTCTGTTTAGGAAAACTCCTCTGTGGTTAAACGATAACAGAAATAAAAGCAACATAACAAAAGGACATGTTGGCTGCTGCTTTGAGAATATGGATGCAGCGTTCAGTTCTGGAGCCAGGTTCTTTAGGATGTGACTGCTCGCCAACTGTCACTGAAGGACGAGGACGGAGGTGAGGGGTCAGTCGGAGGCAGGGAAAACTTTAAAAGGTCACAGGATTGCTGAAGTTTCCAAGCCCTGGGCCTGGGTGTCTCATAGGTCTCTAGAAAGAGACCAGGTTGCAGAAAGGAGGTGCTTCTGGTGGGGGTGGGGGTGCTAATTAAACACTTCCCAGTGTGACAGGCTGGGTCTTTTTACAGTGAACCCCAAAGGACTGTCTGTGTTCCTTTGTATGGAGGAATTTTGCTGAATCAAAGGTTGCTTGAAATCAGAGTCCCGTTGTGTAGAAAGGGGAGGTAGGTATATCACCTGACCCTCCAGCGCATCTGGTCTGGGAGTGGCACTGACTCTCCCAGGGCCTGGGGTGCAGGTGGGGGGATGCTGGCCTGGCTTGCAGGAGGCCAACCACTAGAGCAGGAAGCTGGCCTTGGACCCATACCCCCAACCCACGCCATGTCCTTCCCATTTTGGAACCACGTGACGATGGGCCATACAAAATTTGAGCTTGAATTTCTTGAATCCATGACACAGTTACCAGGAGAACAAAGAACTTATCTCAGGGGCTAGCCTTGGAAGGGTCCTGGAAAATGATACAGTGCTATGTAGATACACAGTATCATTATTATAACTCCACATAATAACTGTAACAAGTGTTTATTTTTGGACAAGATGACTCCAGCTATAAAACAGCATCTAGAGCATTTGGCCCCCCTCTCACCACAATATCATGAGGATGCAAAGATAGCTTCATTTCCAGGAACCTGCCCCAAGTTTATATACCACTCCTTACTCTTTCTCTTCCTTGCAAAGCCCTGCACAGCCATTTTATTAGCAATCCAAGAAGAGATGCGCTGCCTGGCAGCCCAGGGCCACCCTGCAGCAGCCCCGAGGACAACTCACCGTGACCACCACGTAGAAGCACCACACCACCGAGCTGAGATGAAAGACAACCAGCTGTCCGGACTCGTTGAACTTGCTATGTTTGACCTTGGAGAGATGAAGCCGTTTGCTGATTTTCTACAGAATAAAGACAACTCTGCATGTTAATATATACGAGTGTATTGGTAATGGGTGGGTTTCAAACTCCTGTTTCTCCTCACAAAAGGACTAAAGTTTGAAGCCAGTCATAACCCAAGTTGCTTAGCATAAGCCCCACTGTGTGCATACATGTACAGGGCTTGGTTTAAGCCAGGCATTACGAGGAAGTGGCAAGATGTGAAGAAGACATGCCCCAATCACACTACAGAGGACACACCGTAAGGACAGTGTCTTGCCACATCCCAGGCAGCTCTCTCCCATGTAATAAGTACCGCTGCCCCGCTAAGAAGGCTGTGAGAGGGGAGAGAGACCAAAGTGTGTGAGGGAAGTCTAGGACCAACCAGGGCAGGCAAATCAAGGGGTGCAGGAATTCAGGGGAGCAGGGATTCAGAGAGCTGCAGTGCCCTCTGAGGTGAGCCACCCCCCCAAACCAAGGCACCTCCCCCATTTCTGATCTCAGGATCCCGACATGTCACTCACATCTAAAATGTACTCCTGAACCACAGCGTGCAAGATGACGGCGATGAAGATGTAGAACGAGACGGTGGCCAGGTCCTTCGGCCCGTAGTGGTAGCGCACGGCCTCGCTGTCTGTGGGGGTGGTGAGTGCCACATCAGCGCCCTGGGCTGAGGGAAGGCTCTGGGACCCAAAACTGAGAGGACAGCTGGAGCACCACGTGCCATCAAATGATTCCCTTTTGCTGCAGCCCTAAACTTAGAAGAAAGAGTTCTTCCCTAGAGCCCACCCAGGCCCTGGACTTGGCCCTGGTGGAGCAGCAACGGGGAGGGCGGAGGAGAAGCCGGCACACCATGTCTCCAGAGTCTGGGCAGCCGAGTGCAGTGGTCAGGAGCCAGGGGGTGGACACAACCGGTCTCCCTCATTCCCTGGCTGTGTGACTATAGATAAGTGACCAGTCTCTCTGAGTCACAATGTCCTCCCTCGTATGAGGGGACTACAGCTATGCTTCATCAAGGAGGCAGGGCGTGGGAGTTAAGTGTGAACTCAGAAGCCTCCGTTTGTACATGGCTCTGTCATTTATTTCCTATGTGCCTTTGAAGCACCTCTAGGTGTGACCTTTCTGTGCCTCAGTGTCCTCATCAGTAAAATGGGAATAATAGCAGTTCCTGTATCACAGGGCTACTGTGAGAATCGGATGACATAACAAACACAAAGTGCTTAGAAGAGTATCTGGTTCACAGCAAGCACTATATATGTATTCGCGGTCATTTTTGTCATTGGACTAGTGTGAAGATAAAATGAGATTATTTGTATGCAAGATACTTATTAACAGTGCCTGTTACCATGGTGAGCATGAAGCTAATGGCATTTACGAAAATATTACTTAATAGTAATAAATTAGAATCCCAAACTTGTAAGTCCCACACCGGTCTGCTACTGCAGCCTCTTTCTCCACGGACAGAGCAGGATTCATACCTTCATCCCAGTTAGCAGGCCAGCGTCACAAGGGCTCATGAAGCCGGGCCTGGACTCCGCTGCTCCGGAGCTCCCGCCCCAAAGCTGGCATGCTGGCCCTTTGCAGCTGCGCTGCGTCCGCCCGAGTCACACACACGAGTCATCTCTCTTTGCTGGGATGCATTTAGCAGAAGGTGGGCCAGGGCTGGTGAGTCTCAGGGTGGCCACAGAACAAAGTAGAGCCAATTGGGTCACTCTGGGGGTCAAGCCATTACCTCTGCCACCCTGGCCTGGGAGAAAACGGCGTGGGCGGTGGCGGGGGGCGGGAGGGGTGGTGAACACAGAGAGGACGTGGACTCTGAAGTCAGTTAGTTACTTCCCTTTTTCTTCTCCCCCGTCCTTGCCACAAAGACCTGCGCTGCAAGAGGCACTGGGCTAACTGTTGACATATGGAGATAAGAGACACTGCCCAGCCTCAGAGCACACAGTCCAGGGAGGAGACTGACACACGAATGCAGGGTCACCGACAGGCAGGCACACGGTCCCAAGAGGAGACGGCGCCACGGCGGCCAAGGCAGGTGAGGGCCCGACTCGGGCCTGGGAGGAGGTGGTGGGCAGCAGGGCAGGGCGAAGAGGGTGGCATCGAAACTCAGGAATGAGTAGGGGTGGTCGCGGAGGAGGGGACACAGGGAATGAGGCCAGGGCACTTGATGCGTGGGAGGTACGATCACAGTGACAAGGCCACAGTGGGTGGCTGGGCGCCACGTAAAAGGGTGGGGACTTAACCCTGAAGGCAGCGTGGAAACACGGAAGAATTCAAATTCAACAGGAAAATGATGAAATTTCGGTTTAGGGAAGTTTACTCTGACAGCAGTGCCCAGCATCGGGCCTGGAGGTAAAGACACCAGCTGGGGAGCTGCCACCAAGAGCGGGGAAAGGGGCGGCAGCAGGGGAGGCCTGCAGGAAGCAGGGCAGAGGGAGAAGCAGCAGTGTCAGGGCGCTGGGAAGGCCTGCAACGGGCGCAGCAGGGGCTGCGCGGGGAGGGCGGGGGAGGAGGCCGCGCAGGTGGGAGGGGCAATGGGCGTGCGCTTCAGCCGCTCCTTCCGGCTCTTTCATCTGCGAGGCAGGGATCACACTTTTCCCTGCCTTCATTGTAAGGGAGGATCAGAAGAGACTAGATGGCAGCAAATTTTGAAACTATAAAATAATTAAACATATCAGAGCTCCATCATCAAGGCCAGCGTTATTAGGCAAAATGGGATTTATACTTAACCAAACAGGCACAGTCCAAAAGGGAGTAAACTAACAAGATTTTGTTTTATCCACTGTAAAGACTATTCGTGGTCACCTGCGATTCTTCACCCCAAATACCATGGTTCCAAAGAGAGGTGACAGAGCCCTGAGTCCCTCCTCAAGACAAGAACGAACACAGGAGGTAATACATTCTTTTTCTCTTTCACTGTTGAGAACTGCACATGTGTTTGCTCATCAACCAGTAAACTAAGTGCAGGGCTCCCTGCTGGGTGCTGGGGAGCCGGCAGTGAACAAGGTGTCCCAGCAGGGACACACCAAATCCTCATGTATTTAAGAACCAGAGGCCAAAGAACTACAACTCAACAACGGCAACAAAAAACGAACAACCTGATTAGAAAATGGGCAAAGGATTTGAACAGACCTTTCTCCAAATGGCCAACAGGTACATGAAGAGATGCTCATGTCACTAGCATGAGGGAAATGCAAATCAAAACCACATGAGATAACACCTCACAACCATTAGAATGGCTATAATTTTAAAAAATTACAGAAAATAGCAAGTGTTGGCAAGGATGTGGATAAATTGGAACCTTTGTGCATTGTTTGTGGGAATGTAAAACGGTGCGGTTGTTATGGAAAACAGTATGGTAGTTCCTCAAATAATTAAAAATAGAGTTACCATATGATCCAGCAGTCTCACTTCTTAGTATATTCTCAAAATCATTGAAAGGAGGATCTTGAAGAGGTATTTGTGCACACCTACGTTCACAGCATTTTTCACAGTAGCCAAAGGTGGAAACAACCCAAGTGTCTACCGACAGACGGATAAACAAAATGTAGGGTGGTGGCAGAGCGAGAGAGTGCATACATAAAAAATGGATTACAATTACTAACCTTAAAAAGGAAGGAAATCCTGTCTAACAGTATAGCATGGATGAACCTAGAGGGTATTATGCTGAGTGAAATAACCCAGGCACAAAAAGACAAAGACTGCATGGTTCCATCATAAGAGGTTCCTGAAATAGACCCATAGAAACAGAAAGTAAAACGGTGGGCGACAGGGGCTGGAGGCACGGAGGACAGGAACTTGCTGTGCAATCCGCATGGTTTCAGTTTTGCAAGATGAAGAGCAGTCTGGAGATTGGTTGCACGACAATGTGAATATACTTAACAGTAACGAGCTGTACGCTCAGAAATGGCTGTGATGGTAAATTTTATGTTACGTGTATTTTACCACCATTACGAGCAACACCAGCGGCCAGGTGTGGTAAGTGCTCTGAAGTGGACAGAAGGCTGAGGGGGAAATGACAAGAAGCGGAGTCCTCAGTCAGAGGGGCAACCGCAGAGGGTGGCTCGAGGAGGGGACGCGGAGGCCGAGGTGTGCAGGGAGAGAGAGCTGGTATGGCTGAGGCCCCATGGGGAAGACCCAGCGGGACTGAGGAATGGGAGCGGTTGGAGAGCAGGGATCTGGGAGGCTGCAGGGGGGGGTAGGGCCACATCACAACGGCCCCCTTACAAGGTCTTCCAGAAGGTATAGAAAGCTACTGGAGGATCCCAGTCACATATTCGTGAAGATATTTCTTTCTGCCGTAAGGAGAATGGGTCAGGGGGCTATGGGGGGCGGTGGGAGCAGTTAGGGGGCACCTGGAGTACCCCAGGCCGGGGGACCTAGGGGTTGGACGGCGTCAGGTGCTCTGCACTAGGATGGTGGCAGAGATGGGGGGAGGACATGTGGATGGATGCAGCGGGGGACTGGCTGTGGGGAGGGATTCTGGAATCTCTGTATAGTGGAGCCTTCCTCCACGATGTCAGAATTCTTCAGCATGTGCTGTTTTGTGTGATCCTCAGCACCACCTCATGAGAAGGGCAACGAGGGCACACGAGGAAGCAGGGTCCAGAGAGCCCAGGGACATGGCCCATTTCACAGGCCTTCCAGTGTCACGCCCGGGCCACCTCAGGGTCAATGTGCCCCCCGCAGACACATCCTTACTGATAAAATGCGGCCCCCTCAGGGTCTTTCTACCATCACAACAGGCAGTAGAACCCGCAAACACTCAAAAGCTCTACTGATTCATACAAATGACTTCTGTTGGGTCTCATCCTGCTTTTGCTCAGAACAGGAAAATAAATTGGTTTGGCCCCTTCTGCTTTCCACAGAGTTGTGGAGGTTGGAACTTTGTATTCTTCCAGGAGGCTATAAACAAATCGATGGGTTTTTTTCCCCCCTTTTAAAATTTTGGTTGCTCACTTAGAGTGCCTACTCTCAAAGGGCTGCCCCTCTGTTGTATGAGCACTTGGAATGAACCACAGTGGTTTGGCAGTAACCCATGCTAATTTTTCAGAAGAGTAACTTCCAGCATGTCTCTGAGCTATTAAACCAGAGAGATGACTGGTTATGAGTCACAGCAAAATGCCTACAGGAACCAAGGGTGGAACACAGATGAGCCAAGCAGTCCAGGCGTCTTCAGATAAATCCCTTCAGCACAGAGTTCTGCTACATTAAACAGGGAAAATTCTTCACCTCCACAATATGCTTTCCACTGTTTTCCTTTAAACTTACTACCCTCTCGGTCAATCTTTCACATTTCCACTTTAAGGGAAGAACAAGTTTAAGGAATATCCACTTTCCTTTTAACCTGACTAAAAGAAAAACAACACTTTAACTCAGATAAATGGTGACTGATGGGAAGTCTTTATGTCAGGGACTCACTAGAGAATAGTAGTGACTGTGGAAAACTGCAGGGTGCATGTCCCAAAGGGGTGAAGGAAGGTGTGGGGAAGGTCCTCTCAGACAGAGTGGCCAGTCCCTGATATTTCAAAAGCAAAACAGAGAGATCTTCACATGAAATCATCTGGTTTTAAAATGTTGGTGACTAATTCAAAACTTAAAAACACTTTACGGGCCAACACTGAGCTGCCCAAAGAAAACATATCCACAGTTCGACTCTGACATGGGCCACTGACGTGGAATGTCCAGCCAAGATGACCCCTGACACCTTTCTAACACCAGTACTCTAGGAGTCCTCATTCCTACTCTGTGGGGATGGAGTACGTCAGTATGCCCTTCTGTAGGAATGAATCTAGCTTCAGAATAATTAGAATAACTTGGAGTTTTCAGTAATGATCTTCCCACTGTAGATGAATTACCTATCTCCCATCAAAAGTGATGCTTGCTTTGTTTATCTCTGATCACTGTTTAAAAAGAAAGCTAGAATAATCAATAAGAGCCTCCTTGCCTGTTGTGACAACCTCTGTGAGCAGCTCTCCATTTTCGGGAGTAACAGTCCTGTGGGCATCCTGTTTTGCTTCCTCTGACTAACAGATACTCTCCTGTTTCCTTTGGTGTCACCTGTAAGCAGCTTCTCCCGCCTGCCATACACGATGCAATCCCGTCCGGGTACCACACTGTTCAGTCTCTGACATCCTCCCATGGCCTGCGCTGGAGGGGGACCACTCATTGCCACCTGCTTTTCAGATCCCCTTAGAGTCTGGGCACCTGCTCTTGTCTGAACAACTGGTTCTTTAAAGAGCATACTATCAAGCCTGGATGCTTCTTTCTTTCCCTGTTTCTTTTCTAGCCCCTGAAAATCTGGATTTGTAAGATTTATTTCCTATTGGTTTCTGTGCCTGTGGCCAACTCTATTTTCATGTTTTTTCAATCTTTTATTATATAAATCCAGAACTCAAATATGAAAAAATCCACCATGAGAAAAATCAAGAGGCACATGATCACCTAGGGAAAATATTTAGAATTCGGACCACAAACAAACAAAGGGCTAATCTTGCTAATATGTAAAGAGCTCCTAGCACTTGAGGATAAAAAGATCAAAAATCCAACAGAAAAACATGCAAAGGATATGAACAGATAATTCACAGAAAAAAGAAATACGGATGGTCCTTGTACATTGAAAAGGATGCTCAGCCTTACACAGAAGACAAATGCGAATTAAAACTGCCATGAGCTACCATTTCCTACTTCTCTGGCAAACACCCATAGCTTGACAATACCTTCTTGCTGAGGCTGTGGGGAAACAGGCTTTCTTTCACACACTGCTGGTGGGAATGCAAAATGTACCACCTCTTTCGAAGAGCAATTTCTACTAAGATTAGAAATGCACTGACCCTTTGATGCGGCAGTTCTACTTCTGGGAATTTATCTTATAGCTAATAGCTGCTGCATTCAAAATGACATGTACAAGTTACATACTGCAGCACTGTTTTTAACAATAAACCAATGGAAACAATCCAAAATTGTTTTCATCTCTAGGGAACTGGTGAGATAAACCCATAATTGTAATATACCAGGGCTACTCAGAGTGTGGTTGTGTCCCAACAGCACCAGCACCGCCTGAGCTTAGAATGAACACTGTTGCCTATCTTCTAGGCTTGCTGGACCAGAAACTTAGGAGTACGGCCTAGAATCAGCATTCTAATATCTCCAGGTGATTCTAAGCATGTTACAATTTAAGAAGCACTAATATAAGCAATGGAACTGTTTTAAAACATCAGAGAGGAATGAAGATCAAGAACAGGGAAAACATCAGGAGATTTGGAAAGCAGATGAGCGGCGGCTTTGGGAGAGGGTACTGACCAGAACGGGCAAAGGAGGCTGGGAGTGCTGAATCTTGATCTAGGCGATGGCAACACAGACGTGCCCATATACAAAAATTCATCATGCTGTACTCTTAAGAATATGTACGCTTTGCTGCATGTGTTACATACCTCAATGAGACTTCTGAAGAAAATGATGAAGCTCATTACATACTGATATAAAGTGATATTCAGGATACATCATATTGTGGGGAAAAAAAGCAAGTTACAGAACAGAACATATAGTTTCTACCTGTTATGTGAAAAAGGGGAGAAAAGAAAAGTATGTGTTTGTATTTGGAAAAAGAAACACTGGAAGGTGAGATAAGAAATTCTGGAAGGGGTACACCGGAAACAACGCCGTGATCATCCACACGGGGTGGGGGTGCCAAAGGAAAGGAGGACGGGGTGGGAACAAGACCTTCACTCCATTGCACAGATTTATATTAGAGCCATGTGAGCGTATCTTCTATTAAAAAATAATTTTTAAATAAATAACTCTTCAAATTCTTCCTGCTCTGTCTAAATAAAATTAAAAAGTGGGGTCTTCCCTATCTTGTTGCTCTATTTTTTTTTTTTTTTTTCTGTAAGGACACAGAGCAGGCATGAGAAGACCTGAAGCTCATTTCTGGAGCTGCCACCTGCCCTCATATGATCCAGGGTCTCTCTGCCTCAGTTACCCCTTCTGGACAATGGGGATAAAACCCCATCCCACCTTTTCTCATATAGCTAAACAGATGGAGATAACTGACTTACCAACTGCAAAGGGCTACATAAATAGATGAGACCATGATGACCGCTTCCACCAGAAAGAATCAGTCACCCAAGGAACAGGACAGTCACCATGGAGCGCACACAAACACTCCCATCAGGGGGCTCGTTCAGGATAATTAATATAAGTGACAACTGTAAGCCACTT